GAGAAGACCGCCGTGTGGGGAGAAACCCGGTGTGCGTGAGGCCCGTTCCCCCCTGGCAGAGAGGCATCGGCGAGTTCCTGCAGCTGCCGGAGAAAGAGAACCGGGAGCCCAGCGGGGAGGCCGCAGGGAGCAGCGGCCTGGCGCCGGCCAAAAAGTAGGTGTCTGCCCCGGGGGGCTCGGTAAAGGGGCTAGGAATCGATCCCCGTCCCTCTGCCCTCAGCCCACCCTGCTGGGGCTCTCTCAGGAGGGATTTAATCGCGGGTTGCCACTCAGCCGTGGAAGCAGAAGCGCAAGTCGTATGATCCTAGGACATCTCGCGTTGTAAAGGACCCATAAGGATCATCATATCCAGCTCCCTGCTCTATGCAGGGCTACAAAGTCCCTAGAAACCAAAATTTCAGCACTTCATGGGGGTTTATGAGAAAGCCGGGGAAGGAATCTATCAGGGAGTATAGTGATAGGATGAGGGGTAACAGTTTTAAACTGAAAGAGGGGACATTTAGGTCAGATATTAGGAAGAAATTTTTTACTGTGAGGGTGGTGAGACACTGGCACAGGTTGCCCAGAGAAGCTGTGGATCCCCCTTCCCTCGAAGTGTCCAAGGCCAGGTTGGACGGGGCTTTGAGCAGCCTGGGCTGGTGGAGGTGTCCCTGCCCATGGCAGGGGGGTTGGACTGGGGCAGCTTTAATGTCCCTTCCAACCCAAACCATCCTGTGATTCTGAAGATGGGGCTGAAGGAGGTGCAGAGGTGTTGTACCTTGGGGCAAATGGGCAGGGAAGGGGCTCTTGGTGTATCAGAGGCAAAATGCAGTAGGTAACTTAACGGTTTTTGTACACTTGAGGAGTTTTGGTCGTTGGCTGTAGCCCATCTCTTGGGACGTGCTGCTTGAACTTAAATTTCGCTTCCTTAAAAAAAAATGGTAAAAGCTGTCTGAAGTAAAGACAGAGAGTTAAAACTGCCTATGCAGCAGCAGCGATGCATGGAGCTGTCATTGCTGCAGCTGGTGCTCTCTGGCATTGCTTTAAAGTGGGCTCTGCTAGAGTGTGGTCTGTGGAGTGACATGAAACAACAAAGTCCTTGACTCTTTCAAATAATACCAAGCACAGCATCCCTGGCTGCCTGTGAGGGCTATGTTGAGGGCTGGCAGCATGTCCTTGGGTAAAACAAATGGTGATGACTTTTCCTGCATGACTGCTTTGAAAACATCTATTTCTGAAGGAGCAAGCAACCACTAAAAAGTCAATTGTGTGTCTGTTAATCTCCATATCCTCATTGAAATAACATTCCAGTTTCACCAGAAGTCTGGTGAGACACAGCCTCCATCTCCACTGACCTCATAGCACTTCTCTAAAAATGGGTGCAGTAATTGGTAGTTCAGGCAAATTCTCTGTGCTCAGACATACTTTGTTTGCATACAGATGAAAGCAGTGTAACTCTCTGTGGCTGTCAGCTGTGTTTCAGACTTGTGTACGTCAGAGATTGAGTTGTTCCACCAAGCTGACGCTTCAAAAATTAACTTGTAGGCTGCACTACTCACTAAAAAGGTAGCAGTGTGAAACATTGTCCTACAGACACTGTTCCCAACTGCCAAGGGTTTGGTTTTTTTCACCAAATCTAGATAATCCTAAACTGGCTGGGAGGCCCCCAGTCCTGAATTGCCTTGAAGGATGAGCAAACAGTAAGGACCAGGTGACAAGAACCCTGCAGAAAACACAGCGTCACCATCGAAAACAACTCACAGCTTCCCCAGAACATTCTGGAAGAAGCAAGAGCTGTCCTCGCTTAACTGCACAAGTTTGGGGTTTTTTTTTGGTAACATGGGTAAGTTAGGTCGAAAACTCCAGCGTGAAGTGGGAATTAAATGTTCAGGAATGGTGTGGGACCTGCACACAGCCCCCTGGGTCCAGACAGACACGCAGAGAACATCCAAGGATGTGTTGGTGTGTGATGGTTTCTGCGCTGAAGTAGGCTTTCCCATTTAAAAGGTAGGCCTTTGTTCACCTTTCAAACACGAGTTGATAGAGTTCTGCTAACTCCTTTGAACTGGTAACACTTCTTACAGAGCTCGCCCCCTGCCACTGGATCCTGCAGAAGACGGTGACTCCTCTGAAGAGGAGCAGATGTGATCTGACCCCGGCTTCAATGCTAAACCACACAACTCCTGCACTCGAGCTGGTGTTTGTGTGTCTGTGTAGTTTTTTACAGTTTGTTATGGCTTACGTTCGGCTGTTGTACAGAACTGAAAGTCTGAGAGACTACAAAAATATTATGGTGAAATTAATACGTACTTTCTGAAGCTTGGCATTCAGTCTAAGCCACTGTTCTAATTTTTATCTTGGTTTCCTTGAGTTCTGCAGCAACTCCTGTGTACCACACAGCTTTTATCTTTTGATTGCCTGGTGCTTGCCCGAGACTTGCCTGATCGTGCTCGTTCTGATACTAGAAAGCAGTTCCTCTGTTTTTTAATACACTGAAGCATTCTGCAAATACATCCGTGTTGTGTCTTTATTGAAGTAAAAACTGTTAATGACAATGTCTTTGTCCAAAGATGGGAAAACTGGATTTAAGAAGACACTGGTGAGGTGGAAGGGGAGGTATCACTGGCTGTGATTTAGAGCATCATTTATGATTTATATTTATATTTTGTGATTTATGATTATAATTATGATTTAGAGTGAAGTTTAATTAAAACAAACTGGCTTGTTCTAATGACTCAAAACCCTGAAAGCCCTGGCAAGCAATAAACTGCTAAAAATAAATAAAACTTGTTACCCTGAAGGGCCTGAGGCTGCTGCACAACTTTTGAGGCGCTTTAGACGAAAGAGTGAGCAGGGTCTTGTGGAAAAGAAGCGGTGAGTCTTACACTGAGCGGTTCTGCTTCTGCTCTTCCTTAGAAGCATCCCAAATGACCAGAGTTGAGCCGTTGAAAAGCTGAGCGTTTGTACGTGAGGAGGATTTTGTGGCAGCTCCAGTAGCTAGGCCTGGTGTATTTATCCTGGCAATAATGGTTAGCACCATCTAGTAGCCTCTTCCTAAAAAGTCTATGAGTAAAAAGGAGGGTGTTACAGAAAAGCTGCTAAAGTTGTTTGAATGACAAACAGCAAGTGAAGATTTCTTTTTAGTAGATATTTTTTGAAATATGCCAATTAAGCCGATAAGCTTGTGATAATGTGCTGTAAGAACCACAGACTTTGCTGTGATGTCACACAAAATTACAAGAAACCCATTACTTACTATTTTTAGTGAGCTGAAGCACAGTGCTGCAAGATAACTGAGCAGGCTGTTCTGTAAATAGCTACGTAAGATCTTATCTCCAGTCCTGTTGCGAGCCCTTCGGTACAGTTTTACAGGAAATAGGTCAGCTGCTGATCTGGCAGTGGGTGTTTTCTTTCTTTTTCTTTTGTGCAGAGCAGCCAGGAAGATTTTAATGATTGCAACAACTTTGCTCATTTTCTCAGCCTTTCTGGCGAAGGACAAATTATCTGTGTGCAGGAATACTCTGCTACCCTCTCGGTGGCCTGTGTGTAGCGCTCCCGGTGCAGCTAAGGGCTCGTTTGTGGGAGGACATGGCCTGGCATAGGTGAAATCGGATGAAGCAGGAACATAAGATGCTGCAGAAGGAGAGGATGAGAAGAGCATGCACAAAAGGAGCTCAGGGTCAAATAGCTGCCCCCGTGGTACACATCTGCTCTGCTGTAAAATCTCGCAAAAGAGCAAAACTTGGTATTATGGAGCAACTGGGTTTGCTTCTAATAAAGACATACGTATGCTCACTGCACACAGGTCGAAGAAAACCCAGATGTATACACCAGGGACTGCAATTTTAAAGCTAAGGGCCAAATTTTTTTACTGGAAGAGCAGCTTGTGGACATAATGCAGGAAAAGGAGATTCCTCAGACACATTCCCATCCCTGCGGGAATGTGGAGGGGCAATCTTCAGGGTGAAAGCTGTGGCTGGGAAGGGTACGACTGATTTAGAACAGCTGTATCCTGCTGCTAACCTCTGAGTTTGGCTTTGCAGGGGCAACTGGAACAGTTCAACGTGGTAGAGCAGGGTCACGTACGGTGTGTAACAGAGGTTTTCCCCGTGCAATGGGATTTTTAGAGTCTTAGGGCCAAAGGTATACAGAGAACCTCTTATGGGAAGCAATCAGCTCAAAATCCAGTCTATTATGGTTACTATTATTACTACCAAGTAGTTTTCACTTCTGAGCTCAGTTCTTGTAAGTTTAAAGAATTATTTGATAATTATGCTCTTTTGTTTAAGTCCACATGAACACCACAACTCCCTAAATTTTAATGGGAGGAAGAAGAGGGGAACCCAATACCAGCTAAAGTGCTCGTGAACGCCCTCTGGAATTTGAATCTTCAATTTATAAAATACAGAATGAGAGCAAGGTGAAACCTGCCAGCAAAAGAAAGACCCACCACTGTGACCCAGTGTTGACCGATTCATTAATCTCAACACGCTTACAAACACCTAGTAAAAAAAAAATACCCAGAACTGACAATAGATGTCAGCAGCATCTCCAGCTACCAAACGCTGGACTGTGCCAGGTCAGCACTCACTCTGCCTTCTTCCACTTTATTTATTTAGGTATGCTGCAGGGAATACAGAAGGGTATGGATGGGAGGCCAAAATCGCTTGCTGTTTCCTGAGAGTCAGTGTTATGTTGCTAAGTCTCTCCAGGAAAATGGCATCAGCAAACTCATGGGTGAAATCACCATGGCTTGGTCAAAACCAGTGCCAGAGGAGCATGGATGGGCAGTGAGGAGGACCCGTTCCACTCACAAGATGGTTTTTTCCCATGTCCAACACATGGAGCTTTCTGTGGAGAGTCCAAATTCTTTTTCTGACCCCTGATTTCAAGAACATCACACCCCTGAGAGCACTAAAGAGCATCAAACCACCCTCTACGGCCTCAGCTGTGATCCCCACCCGCTCCTGAAAGGTCCAGGAGTTCCTTCTGAGCCAGGCTGGGGGCACCCAGACCTTTCCTGGGGGAATTTGTATGGACCTGCGCTGTGAGTAGTTCACAGAATCAGAGAATCACTTGGGTTGGAAAAGACCTTTAAGGTCATCGAGTCCAACCATTAACCCAACGCTGCCAACTCCACCACTAAACCACGTCCTTGAGCACCTCATCTCCCCA